CCTTTCATATCGAGCGGTAGCCATAAGATTGCCCGTATATTAAAAAATGACCGACCTAAAGATTTTGAATCTTCGTCTCAAAGCTATTCGTTCCCCAAACCGACAATTATAAAAAGAAAAAAAAAATTCGAAATCTCGAAAGATTTTTTAAAGATATGATTCCCATATCGACCTTTCCATCTTGAATCATCTATATGGCGGCTCAAAAAGACATATAAATATCCAGAAATAAATACGGCTAAATCATAAATGCTGCGTATTTCCAATTCTTTATCCCAAGATTATATATCTTCCCAAATTGCCGCGAACATACTCAAAAATAAATAAATCATATCGAATTTTTTGTGCAATCATACGATCTATATAATTTCGAAATATTTTATCATCCTATCTATATCAAGAGCATCATAAATTTTTGCAGAGAATTGAATTATCCAAAACTTGAGAATCTATCATACCCCACAAAAAAAAATATATAAAAATCCAAATCGCGCGCGAGTATATTAATCGTAGATATTTATATCGTAAATTCCAATCTTCATCGAATCAAGAATCATAAAAGAATAGATCTCAATTTTCCTATTGCCGAAATATGCAGAGTCAATTTATGAATAAATATAGATGATCGAGAAAGTCTTGAATTCAAAATATGAAAAGATCATAGATTAGAATATCATAATAAATATCATCATTCAATTTCATTCTTTAGATTCATTTATATAATGAATCTAAAGAATTAATTGAATCAATGAATCTTAACCCGGCGTGTCGCTAAATAGAGAAACGGAGAAAATAGATACGAATTAATATCCTCATATTTATCCCAAATGCCAGGTCGTCAGCCTCAATAACAGGGAGTTATTAAATCGGCAAATTGAACTTGTCAGACGGAGAGACGGACAAATTCGAGAGATCAAGGCTATGATGATTCTCATTAATTCAAATTTCTCAATAAGTCTATGAAATATTCTTTGCAGATTAGTTATCCCGAAGATGATTCCATTCAATGCAATTCATTTCTCCGAATTCTCTCCCGCAACTAGCCCATATTGGGAATCTCAGCCTGGTCTAATGCCAGGAACTTGAAGTCGGCGGCGCTTGGCAAGCGGCCTGCAACGGCAACGCTGGATTTGAAGAGATCTGTGATGCCTCTTGCTTCCCAAGCACTCAGGACACAGCTCATCCAGGGAGAGAAGCAACTCCCGGACACCAACTTCACCTGCGCTTCAAGCGAGAGCGGACCGTCCATCGCTTCAAAAGATAAACCCACGAAGCTGCTTGAGCTGCTGACTGCGGCAGAGCTCTTTGAAAGACTCGCTTCCAACAACCTTAGCCAGTGGTCGCCATGAAATGACATGAATACAGGCTCTTGCTGGCCAACCCGTACTGCCAATGCATTCCACTCGGGCTGCTCGATGCTCATAAGACTGGGACGTCTTTCATGCGGCCCTGCATCCTTGCATAGTGTGGAGAGCTTCTGGTTCCGCCGACTCAAAACGAACGAAAGGCCTCTCTATGCAACTCTCCACAAGAGCTGGGACCTGTCACATCTATACTTGATGACTGTGATTTAGGTCTTGAGCATTTATTTCCACATATTTGCACGAACTACTACAGGCATTTCAGTTGCACGTTTAACTGCAAAGCCTCGAAGAAGATATCTCATAACGCATTAGGCCTGGTTGCGGACCGAAACAACAGAGCCGAAGGTAGCAAGGGCATTGTCCTGCAACGGCAAGCATTGAGGAACAAAATCCTGCATCGATCTGCATAGCATCCGGGGTCCAGCGTCAGTCCCTGCATGAGCTTCCACTCGCAAAGTCGAGTGAGATCCTCTGAATACTCGACAACCCAGCAACGCGTCGGAATTCTTGAATCAAATGGCCTCCAGCAGAAACTCAATGGAGAGATGTAACACCTCGAGCCATCTTGCCAATTGCTTCAAGCTATGCTAGACTGCAGATGCCGGTTCGAGGCACACACTTCTAACGGGTCAGCCTGCTCAAACAACACCTGCAGTTTGCGAAGACGCAGATTGACTGTCAGGCACGGCTAAGTCATTCTTCTAATGTCAGCTTCGGATTAGTAAATGGGTCCGTAATAGAGCAAACTTTTGGCTGAAGAGATTAATGAGATGGGTACGGAATGGGGCAAACTTTTCGCCAAATTGAGAACCAGAATTGATCCCCGGCGATGGACAGCAAAATGACAGGGCCCAAGACACCCCCACACACTAGTCCGCCAAAATTTGATTGAGGGGGGACTATTCAGTTCCTTTACTTGTTTGAGGGAGGGAGGGGGGTTAGTAATCAGAACTCCCCATTAGTTGCAATGAGCACAACTGAAATTGCATGTCCAATGTAGCCCAGGGACCCGTTTATTCCTTGCATTGAGCTATGGCAAATATCACGAGCTCAGGACAAGTATATAGCAGGGCGCTTGAAGGCAAAAAACAATTGATCCGAATGATAGTTCGTAGATGATGCCGTTAGACTGCAAGACCATTTTTGTCAAGGTTTCCAAATTCGGGAGTCCCCTTTTGGAGGAAGCAGGCTTCAAAAAGTGTTGGTTCCCATGCTGGGAGGCATGACAATGGGTTTGGTGGGGGAGCGGGCTGTGCGTTTCTGGGCATGTACAGCAAGTTCAGGTGTACATGGTCAGCGACACACGAGTTGGGCTGTAAGTCGTTTTTCCACATGGGTAGACGTCTCATCACCCTGTCCATGCGCACTCTTGCGAACAATGTTGATGCAACTAGCTTCGAACGTTAAGCGTCGTTTGCTCCCGTGCTCGAATTTCGCATGCATGTCAAGAGGCTATATGAGATCACAAGACCTTGTAAACGCTAGAACCTGCCTGTTCGTCAAGCCAGTGGTTCCAGAAGGTTGGAGCACCGCGCGGAATGCGCGTGCGCGTTTCTTTGTTTTTAATTCGGCTTCCTACATTTGACTGAGCTCATCTGCATGACATGTTGTACAAAACCATTTCGAACGCACGTGAGCAGCCTCGAGATGCAAGGTTCTTGGAGGCCTGTGATCTTTTGGAGTCCGCGTCATCTCTTTTCTCGGATTGTTCTTAGAAGGGCGATGCTTGTTTTTTTGTAATACCTGCATCGCGATGCCCCGACTGCTGAAACTTGGAAATGATTCCTCCGCGGCACAGATCCGCGAAGAGCCCACGTCCACTGTCCGTTTCGCTCCGTAAATTGAATGATTCAGATAATGGTGGGCAGGTGGACAGAAATCCTATTTTTCAGCGTCCATGGCAAATATCGACTCATCAAGTGTGCTGCATGAAAACATCGGAGTTCGTAGCTGTGCAATCGCTGGCTTACATTCAAACTCCCTGTTAAGAACGGGACCTGTCCAGCTTGACCGGCCGAGTAGATGAACCGAAGGACCGCTTCAAAGGCAGGCGCCGATGCCCTGCCAACAGTTCACTACGTTACAGGAGCCACATGCATTCCAATTGCGTCGCTTTCATCGTGCAAGCAATGCTGTTGGAGGGAAACAGATCAGAAAATCTAACACTTCAACAGAGAAAACCGCTTAACGCAGCTGACCAAAGCTCAGGCCTTGGAATGGGCACCTGCGATGCGGCTCCCTGATACAAGCACACGCCCCGCTCTGACTGTAAAACGAGAGGCCAAGCGTCCCCCAACTATGATCGGCAGGCCTCACTCATGCCTGTGTGGAGCATTCGCTCGAAGTAGACTGAGCGTGCCGCCAGCAGGAACTTGTCCGCCTACAAGACTCCCGATGTGAGCACGGCATGGCTGTTCATCAAAAGTCCCAGCGCAGGAGGAAGCTTTGAAGACCCCAACTGATGCATCTGGTGCCGACCCGCAGCTTGCGCCCGTCCACTTCGAATATCACGCATCCACTCGGGAAGTCGGACGCACCTCCAAACACAAGCCCAACTTGCGAGACAGCTTGAGGGATCCCCAAACCTCGCTTCGACCTTACTTAGGCCTGCCTTAGGCCTGCGCCTGGAGAGGCTCACTATCATTCTACTTTGGAAACATGCTGTGGTCTCGGAAACACGTGGCAAAATAAAAGGCTACTCTACGCCTAGTACTGCCACACGTTGAAACTCCAAGAGTAGGCTAAAATGGTGTTGCGTTGAGGCTCTGCGCAAGGTTGGCGCGGGCTCATCATATCCAAGGAAGGCAACATGCTGAGCACTTTGTATTGTTGAGGATGAAATAAATTGCCAGGGGCGACTACGAGTTACATAGCTGGTGGGTGAAGGGGCGCACTTCTACCAAGAAAGTCCTGCCAGCCCCTCCTAAACCCCCCGCCAAAACGCAGCGGGGCGCTGCAACAAGTTCAACCAGAGTGTGGGCTTTGCATTCAAGCACGCAACCTACTGATGCGCTCACCATCACCAGGCTTGCGGTGCCTCGTCTTCATGTTGGTGCTCGGCAAGAAGCCGGTTTCGAGACTTCCAACTCATTTAAATCGCTCTCAGATGGGATTCAGGGTAGCCTGTGAAGTC